TGAAATGGCCACGCTACAATCCCTTCTCCTCCATTCTCCTCTCGGGATCTTGGGCACGCACGCACATGCACCCAGTGTGAGTTTTATGCCACTGGGTCCGGGACGCGGACCATGGTCGACTACATGGGAGTCCAGTGACATAGCCATTACGCCAGCTGCTAGTCCCCCCACAGATACTTATGACGTCAGTTTTCCCTAGGACACGGTTCTCTCCGGGGGTCACCTCTCAATTTCGGTGAGAACACAAAAACGCCTATTTCCTGCTAGCAGAAACGTCACGATGGTCCTCTGTGACAAACGGAGTCAACGAGCTACGGCAGTGGGGGCAGGATCTGGGACTCCGACGGGCCTCCAGCCCCAACGACCGTGCCCGTGTCTTGACGGAGTCTGGGCTCACGGCTAACCACGGCCATCCACGGCCGTCAGACCTGCGGCCGGACCTGGGTATTCATGCGTTCTGGGCGCCGCGATGTCTACCAGCTCGCGTGCTTGTTCTCAACGCTCCGGTAACTCCCCTGACGCATGTACTCTCTTGGCCTCTCCGCGGGAGGTGGCCCTGTCCCCTTCATCACCACGGGAGGGAGGCGAGGCTGAGGAAGGCAGCGGGGACCCGGGAGCAGAGGACAGGGTTCCCTGCAGCAGCCAGGCCCCAGCTCAGCTCAACTCAGCTCAGCGCTGGTAGCCACGTGGCCTTGGGTGGCTGAGCGAGCCTCGGTTTCCCCTTCTAGGAGGGAGCTGTGACATCCCGTTGGCCAGGATGACAGGATGCCAGGCAAGGCCAAGACGGGGCATGCCCCACCCCCCAGGAATCTTCCCAGAGGTCCCCACTCACTCCCAGAATGAAAACCCTGACCCTGTCCCAGCTGTTCCTGCTGCTCCTAACTCCAAGTGGCGTCTGAAGCTGACAGGGACATGCTCAGGTGAGCGGCTGCCTTGGTCACCTGCAGCGAGACCAGATGACCAGGGTAACCCAGACGGAAAAGGCAGGGCATGGACCAACTCAGACAAACCGTTTCCAGCTGTCCGTGAATTTAGAGGCGAAGGACAAAAAAAAAGGAGGAAAGATGGGGACCAGCAGGTGGTGTGGTGGTTAAGGTGCTGGACACTCCCACATGGCCGACCACGGTTCAAGTCCTGGACCTGATGGCTTGCTTTCCCATTTTTCTCTCCCTCTCTCTCTCTGTCTTGCTCTGGTCAAATTAAAATAAATGAATGAATAAATTTAAAAATTAAAAAAATATATTATTTTAAAAATTATACTTAAAAAGAAAAAAAAGGAGGAAAGGGAGCGAGCCCGGGCCATCAGGGGCAGCTTGGAGACCTGGGTGATGAGAAGGGCCACTGTCACCAGAGCCGGCCACCAGGCCAGGCTGGGAAGCTCAGCCCAGCACCTTCCAGAAGAGATGCCGTCTGTGCTGAGGCTCTGAGGAGCTCATCATGGGCTCTGGGCAGCATAAGGACGCGCCTCTGTCCCCACGAAGGTCGAGGCTGCGCCCCGACCGAGGGCTGGGCTCCCCAGACGCAGGCAGGGCACACTTCATCTTGGGTGGAAAACACCGTGCAGCGGGAGCGACTGCGAGGCTGACCCTCGCGGGAAGGGTCCGGGTTCACATCCTGGCTGTTTCAAGCACGTGTGTGCTACGTTGTGGGCAGGAGTGTCCCCACGATCTGAACTGGATGAGGCTGGTGGGACCAGCAGTGTCAGGAACCTGCTGTGGGTGCCCTGTCTCCCTCGCTCACGGAAAAAATAGATAAGAAATTAAAAACACAGAAAAACGGGGCCAGCAGATGGCTTGGCGGTTAAGGCTCTGAATCCCACATGCCTGGCTGCGAGGTTTAAGTCCGGAACCCGGCGGCTTGAAAATCATGCTGGGTGCACGTGCGTGCATGCCCAAAATCCCAAGAGGAGAAGGGACTCTGGCATGGCCACCATTTCACCCCGGGGTGGTGTGGTGGTTAAGGTGCTGGACTCCCAACGTGACTGACCGCGGTTCGAGTCCCAAACCTGGCAGCTTGCTTTCTTTCTCACTGTCTCTGTCTGTCTCTCTCTCCTTCCCTGGTCAAATGAAAATAATTTTTTTTTTTTTTGCTATAGGGTGTGTGCACTTGCCAGACAGACAGAGACAGACAGAGAGACAGAAAGCGAAAGCGAGAAATCACCCCCCAGGGGGGATGGTCACGCCGCAATC